TGCTTAGATTCGGCGGGGTCTCATCAGCAAAAAAATCAGCTCAATAAATTCGTCTCAAAACTTAACGTCACACGTGGAAGCCACGTTACCAAGGCTGCAAGGATCACGGAGAACAACCAAACCTGAAAATGTAAATATACCTCAACACCACAATAAAATGCTAAAAGAAATGAACCAAGTTTCAGTTAGTCAGTTAGGAATTGGCTTCATATGTCGTCAGACGGCTTTTCCAGTAATACATCATGTAAGACCATTATTAGAAAACAATCTAACGCTTAAGCTCTTCACTCTACTCGCGGGTAATGATGATGCAATGACAATTCACTGGTAAATACTTCAGTTTTACAGAGACAGCAAGATTCAACACAGACTAGCAGGCCCACCACTTACCGAGATTTCGATAGGAGACGTATCGTACATATTTTATAGAGCATTATAAAATGAAGAGCGTTACAGAACCATTTAGAAACGAATGTTCTTTTCATGTTTAATTAACCTGAAATAATTCTCATTATAACTGAAAACAAGTAAAAAATTGACTAGGTTAGATAAAAAAAAAAGAAACAACCAGAAATATGACTTACTATGCGAAATTAGATGGATGGCGGCAACAGAATAACACATGAGTGACGCGACATCTGTAACGGTTAAAAATGAATGAAATAAAAAAAATGAAAGAACTTGTAATAACAAGCGTAGATGAAATTTCAGCATGGAAAGCAGCCAACAATTAATTTTCATTAAAGAGTCAATCGGTAATTCTTTTCATCAGAAAATCAACATTTAAAAATATATGAAAATTATTTTACAAAAAAATCCTTTCCTTACCTCGACAACAGCCAGTTTGAGAAACTACTGCCTTAGCACCCTGAAAAGTGGGCAGCTTGTGAGTGAAGCAAATCATAATGCGACAAGCGAGCTCAAAATGAAGTATCAGACTAATATGCAGCCAGTTTTTCTTTTCATCGAGTGTCAATCGGTAATTCTATTCATCATCAAGACTTTCCACATTACCCGAATCTACTTCTAGTTTTAAGGAAACAACTTGACATCATGTTTAAATTGGGTCAAATTATTATTCATGTAACTGACGTTAAGGTTTAACTCTAGGAACTAATAATAAAAGGACCGCCATAAACCAGATCAGATCACACAGCTCAATTTAGATTGAGACATTCATACACTCACGGTTAGTGTGAATAGAGCTGAGAAATCGACATCGTTTGGCACTCCCGATATCCTGCAAAATGCGTATAAAATGAGTGAAGGATCTAGCACCATTAATTATGGAATGGCAACGAAAACTCCGAGTTCAGGTGATAGCAGCTTCATATATCGTCAGCCGGATCTTCCATAAAAGGTGTCATCATATTATCAAAGCGTCGTTTCCTTCACCCATTTCATAATATCAACAATGAGTTTTGACGATGGCGCGTTCGTAATATATCATTACCTCAATATCGCAAATATAGAAGACGACACTCGGCATCAAGCGGCTCGATCTTGACTCCTGTAGTAAAGGACAGAAACTGTTGAAAAAATAATTGCATCAATGATTTTTTGCTCGCGACGCGCGCAGATATCATCAGAACAATAACGCAGAAATAAGTTTGCATCACGGAATCTCAACCCGTAATTCAAATCATCACAGAAAAACCGAACGCATGAAATTTGCAAAATCTAAATGAAAATGTAAAATACGTCATTACTCACCAAACAAGTAGGAAATTTAAAGCCACTTTACACAGGCAATCGAAAGGATTCTTCTGCTATCACACCAAGCAGAGGCATTCCAGATATTGGGCCTGGAAAATCTGCAGAGTAATAATAATTTAAAATTGTGTCAACACCGAACTAATTTCAAGCATTAAAAAGTGAACATCAGCCAATAAATTAGTTTCATACCTGATCAAATGATTGACAGATAAAATAATCATCATTTATATAAATACTGTACACTTAAATTAGATAATAATTAATCCCAAACATACCTCATTGGTCTTTCTCTGTGCGACTGGCGGATTTCGTGTATGAGCTGCATCTGCAAAATTATATTCTAGTAGAATAAATCGTTGTCGAAGTATGGACGTTTGATCAAAGTGCAGTACCCCAATTGATATTTCAGGTATTGAAATTTCACTCACACCTATGATACCGTTCAACGCTGATGGCAGTAAAACTATCTAACAAGTAATCTTCAGAGACAAAATCGCGCCTATGAAATATATTAGCTGCCATCTATCGCGAATCACGCATATGCATCACAGTAACCTAATCGGTGATCCGTATCATGAATACCAGTACAGCTTGACGCGATTATTTGGACCAAACCATTTTGATATATCCATAGGAGGTGATAGTATTTCTCTAAACAGTAAAAAAAGGACCTTTAGGTTGAAATTGTTCAAGTTGTTAATAACAACGACGGGCTTTGCATCAAAACGGCAATTAGAAGTGAAGAGAGATGCTGCAGCTTCGATATAATAAAATTACTCACGTTTAGCAAGAAGATGGAGTAAAACGAGGCGACCCACATTCGATTCTGCATATAATCCTGCAAGACAATTGAGGAATGAAAGATTCTGCATACATAAGCAAAGATTAACTAACAACTGCATCAGGATCAGACGAAATCAGCTTCATATATCGTCAGCCGGATCTTCCTATTATAGTTCACATCATTAATACTGAGTTCTCAAAAACAAGGTTTTCATTGTGAGAAAAAAATTGGTTGAAAAGTTGGAATAACTTACTGTTTAAATGCAGTAAGCACGGGAAACATCACTCCTTCAGCAGCCAGCGGCACAAACGCTATTACCGAGACGGTCGTTGGCCAACTGGAAAGAAAAAAATCGAACTAAAAGCCTGGAAAACAGCAGAGCTCGATGGAAAAAGTTACAAAATTTTCAGAACATATAGCAGCCAAAATGATTTTCATTATACGTCAATCGGTAATTCTTTTCATCACAGAATAAAATAAATCACCCATTGTCTTCTTTCAGTAAGAAACGTCAAAAATAATAACACCGCGTTCTCAACTCACCCCTCGAGGCTGAGTAGAGAGGTTTGCAGCGAGACGTGCCAGACGTTGCTTCTGTTCAGGTAAAAGAGACGTCAGTAAGGAATACGAAACAAATCCACACGATAATACAGACGAAATTTCAGAAAATATAGCAGCCAGTAATCTTTTCATTCGGAGTCAATCGGTAATTCTTATCATCATATAATTTGAAAAACTAATCAATTACACAAGTTGTAACTGATAAAGTTTGATGAGCAACAGACGCATGAACGCAAATGAAATCCGAGAATCGAGTATTTGCAAAAACGAACCTTGCACAGCAGAGGAGTGGTGGAGGCGCCATTGCTCATCCGGATCTACAGGATAAAAAGGACGCCAAGTCAGTGTCGGCTTCTAGCTCAACCCGCAGGCAAGATCAGTGCACGTGATCAGGACAATAACGCAGCAATGTTTGCATCACAGCAACTCAATCGGTAATTCGTATCATCATAAATACCAACCCTAACCTGAATAATTATGAACATAATTAAAACTATCGAGTTAACGCGAGCTGACATCCAACGTGAGGCAACCAAGTTGCGATGATAAACTGAATAGCAGCGGATATGTGCGTGCTCCGTTTCATGCGTTCACTGCATGTATGAGTACTTGTACGAGTACTTTTTTGACAGGAAATTTTCAGCGCGCATGGAAACTAAACATCATGCTTGGGAATGGGTGAAAGTATTCATTAACTGACGCTTTCAATTTAAACGATTAATACCAAATGAATTTCCACAAACTAGCGTAAAATCATACAGCTAAGAAGTTCAATTGAGTTGTTTACTTACGTTTAGTGCGAATCTAGTAGGAAAATGTTGCCATCGCTTGACATTCCCCATATCCTGCAAAACGCGTATAAATGAAGGACCTGGCATAATTATGAAATGGCAACAAAAACTTTGTGTTCGGGTGATAGTAGCTTCATAAATTGTCAGCCCAATCTTTAAGAAAAATGGTATATCATAGAGTAGTTTATTCCAGCAAGTTCATGAATAATGAAAATGCGCAGTGACGAAGATTTGCTAAGTAAAATATTACCTTAATAGCCCATTCGCAGAAACGTAACGCTGCCTTCAGCCACTTAGTGGCAACACCTGCAGAAGGGGATGGAAGCTTGTTTAAACAATGACAAAGACTTGTTGCTGGCGGTGCAAGCAAATATTATCAGGACAATAACGCAGAAATAAATTGCCATCACAGAAACTCAACAGGTAATTTTTATCATCAGAGAAAGACAACACTGCAAATTCTGCAAAATATGTAGTTAAAATATAAAAGCAAAATGCGTAATTACTCACCAAACAAGTAAAAAATTTAAAGCCACTTTACATAACCACTCGATAGGATTCTTCTGCTATCACATCGAAAGTTGACTTGAATTGGGTCAGGTAAATCTGCAGAAAGTAATAATAAATTCAAATAGAGTCAAAAAATAACCAATTTCAAGCATTAAAAAATGAACATCAGCCAACAAATTTGTTTCATGCCTGATCAAATGATTGACAGATAAATATTCATCATTAATTTGAATACTGTACACTGTAATCAGATTGAATTATTCAAACATACCTCATTAGAGCCTTCCTCTTTGCGGTTGGTCGATTTCGGGCATGAGCTGCATCTGAAAATTTAAATTATAGTAGAATAAATCGTTGTCGAAGTATGGATATTTGATCAAGGTGCAGTATGATATTATTAGATATTTCAGGTATTGAAATTTCACTCACCTATGATGCCGTTCAACGCTGATGACAGTAAAACTAACTTAGCAAACAAGAAATCTCCCGTGACGAAATCACACAAATGGAAGATCTTGGCTGCTATCTATCGCTAATTATTCACCAACAGTCGCAATACACGACAAATTAGCATGTTTTTTTCACAGAAAAAATATAAGGAACAGTTGTTTGAAATCAAGGTAAATAAAACGCAGTTCTTCCGCCCGAGATTTATTAGGCATTTAGGCTGCAGCCTTCTTCTCTTTCTTGGCCTTGGCGCGGTCCTGGCGCTTCTGCTCAGCCTTCTTCCTGTGCTCAGCCCTGGCCTTGAGAGTGGCGTCACGTCGCTGTCTTCGAAGACGTTCACGAGAAGGCTTGGGGTCTGGCTTGGGCTTGCTCTTGCTTATCTTCCTCTTCTCCTTAGGCACGAACTCCCTCTTTTTCAGTGTACCAGCAGCAGCTCGCTTGGCCAAACGAGCCTTACGAACCTCCTTCCTCTTGTTCTTTCGCTCGAGCAACTTCTTCTTAAGCTCACGCCTCTTGACAATGGCATTCTTGTGTCGGGCGTTTTTAGCAGCCTCACGCTCCTTCTTCTGTTCAGGAGTAAGAGTCTTGCGCTTGACGTAGCCGAGGGCGACGGCGGTGTCAAGGTCCCTCCTGGCCTTGAGCTTCTGCAACATACGTGGGTACTTGTTGCGCAGGTTGCGGAACGAAGAATACACGATGTTGCTGCACCGGCGGCTGGCTTCTGCAACCTTGAATGCATTGTAGTCCGTGATTTTGGAGCGCTGTAAACAAGAATTTCATTTAGTGCTTTTAATAATTACCAAAGGAAAAGTGGCGATTTCCAGTCGTGTTATTGGCAAATGGACATTGCACCCAATATTAGGAGCTCATTACATGAAAAAAAACAAATGAAAAGAAGAATGAACAGTTATATAACTTACTCGTTCGAATTTTGCCGCACGCTTGACATAAGGCAGACGCTTGAATCTGAAGTCAATATGAGCTTTCTCCCATAGTTTCTTCAGGGTCTTAGCAGGCATCTCAAGCTTAATCTTCAGCTGTAAAAAAAGACCGAATTTCTAAGAATTAAGAGGCTGAAATTTCTAGGCACTGAAATTTATATGCACGTTAGTCGCTTGCAGTTAATAGTAGCAGTAACAAAATATATACAAGATGAGCGCGATTTCATCTATTGTTCTGTAAAATTTTCACGATTAATGTTCCTGTCACACTAACATTTCAATTGACTTAAGAGCACCGAACAATATGAGTTAGCAGATGAGAATTGAGTCAAGTAAATCTATAGTACCTCCTTGCATGATGAACGTTTCGAGAGCCAAAATATAAATGGGTTATAAGACCAAAGTCCATAGACTTCGCACCCCCGTTTCAGACACTGGAGTGTTAGCTATTAGATGACTAATTTTTCAAGCTGGTTTCATAAACTTATGAGTTGGTTTGCAAAAAAAATACCCAAACCCGAAAAAAGGCATAGTGTACACGAATTTAATTTAAAAAGAAGGTATATGTACATTATACAACACTAGTTTTATTTTAAACACCGAAAAGATGAGGATTTTTTAGAAAACAATCTATCCCTTAATGATCGGATGTCAGCACTGTGTGTGTATATATAGCATTAGATTACCTTGAACTTTGTGAGACGAGCATCCTTGAGCTTGATCTCCTGACGCACCATACCAGGGCCATCCACCAGCAGCTGAAAAATAAAAACATTTATATATCATTAATATATTAATTATATTTATATATTTTGTACCCGATGTCCGGTAATGTTACGAATTGTAATTAATTTTGTCCGGTAATTGTACGAACCATGTTAATATATATATATATATATATATATAAGGGATTGTATACCTATCAAGAGCATACCCTTTTCTAGCAAAGTAGTCCTGAACGATGTCAAAATAACAATCTGAAATTTTAGATTGGACATCGACACAATAATGGTTTGATATGTACAAAATTGCTAAAATATTATCACGAGTACAGCATCATACCTTTTATCAGTTCATTGCAGGACAAATCCAACACTAATTTCAAAAGTCCCAACTTTTTCAATTTGATTGACTTAATTCTTCTGATATTGCATACATAAGAATTAAGATTCTGAGAATACAGACCCTGTTGCAGTCAATGATGTTCACGATGACGCCCTGGTGCCCCTTGCACTTGCCGCGGGTGATGTCAACCACCCGCCCCAGCTCCACATACTTGGTGAATAGCTGCAAAAAGGATCCTTGTGAGCAGGCAGTCAGTGCTAGGCAACAAATGGGGTTCAGACGTGCATGTAACACAGGCAATTTTTTTTCACACATATCAGTGGGGAAATAAATAGTGGGGAAATGGAGTGAACAACTTGAACCATTTCAGATAAACCATTTTGAAGATTGAACCATTTCAGTGTGGTGTTAATTTTAAGACGGTTTAAATTGGGGTGGAGCTTTATATATATTAATAATAATTAATCAATAGCAAACTACTAAGATTTGATATTAAAATCATTTTTTTAATTCAGAATTGTATCACACAGAAGAATCTTGAATCTATTATTCAGCAAGTGAGTAAACAAGAATTCCAATTGTGCAATATTGCCAGTTCTCAATTTGTTGTGCATAATTTTAGCCTAGCAATGATCAACAAGAATGCCTCCAAATTACAATAATCATTCTAGTTATGACTAAATCATACAAATTATTTGTCAACTGCATTCAATACAAAATTGAATGACTAAAATTGTATCTATAGTTTGGAATTATAAAAGTTACTCTAAGGTCATCTGTCTTGTGGTTGTCAGCAACAGTTACTACCTAGTACCAGCCATTATAGTGACAACAGAAAACATTTTCATGTAAGTTTCCTCATTCTTTACTATTTTTTATAGTTCAATAAAACTGCTACAATTGTCTTGTCTTCATTAAGGTAATCAAAGAAATTCTGTGCAAATAAAATTAGGCTATCCCTTATTGACTACATAGGAAGTGCACTCTAGCGCTTGGAGATGTAAATACACTCCCAAAAGTTCTAGGACTTGATATAATCATAAAATTAATCATGTCAAGAATGAACACTGACCCACTTATGATTACAATAAGGAAAAAAAAGTTGCTGGAGATGGCCATGTGAGAGATGCAAATTGAACAATCAAGAAGGGACCAATCAAAAACAAAGGCCCAAAATACATGTCAAGCATAAATAAAGTGTTACTGACGTGGAAGGTGAGAGTATTGCCCATAACCAACCAAAACCTTGCTAAAGCGAGATAGTAAAATACTATATACTTGGTCATGGTGGGGGACAGAATTATTGCCTCCATAAGGTGGAAAGTCAAATACAGTGGGATGTGAGATTGCTTGCATGAAATTATAATGCCGGGTGCAAATTCAAACCAAAATGAGGAATAAAAAAGTAAAAAATTCAAAAACTTGAATGGTGGATTATATATATATGTATGCAAGTTTGATGTAAGACCAGAGCATGCTTTTTATTAACAATCTTCTTGTTCGTCTTTTCAATGAGTCGAACCAAATTTCTAGCTGGAGCCAGGAGATCGAAAAGCAGGTTTCCGAATGACATTTTAATAGATTGTGACGTTTCAAAAATACCATTTTCATTATCAAGCTGGTGAAGGTTTTACAACACTTGAAATTAAATTTGGGAATGACAGAAGTACATATGAATGGTATAGTGGTTACAATTTTAGAATATTAGCTTAAAATTAATCTGAAAATAATTTCAGCATCCGGACGAATCCTGTAGTTTGGAGGTTGATAGCCGGAGACTCGCTCTTGATAATGAGGGACTCAGCTATTGCCAGTCTCGATGGGTCAGGGCACCGCATAACTATGCTGGTGCAGGCTAGTTCTTTAGAGGTCTTGTATACAGGAGAAGTTACTTGCGAAATTATAGGCCTTAGTGGGTTGTATATGTATGTATATACACAATTTTCGAAACGTTGCATTCTATTGAAATGTCATTCGGAAACCTGCTTTTTGATCTCCCGGCTCCAGCTAGAAATTTGGTTCGACTAATTGAAAAGACAAACAAGAAGATTGTTAATAAAAAGCATGCTCTGGTCTTCAATCAAACTTGCATATATATATATATATATATATATATAGAGGTGGGCAGTAGCGCGCTACATGTAGCGGCTGCTACATTCTCAGTAGCAGCGCTACATTTAAGACAATATAGCGGTAGCGCCCACTACATATTTAAGTAGCAATAAGAGGTTTAGCCGCTACAGCGCTACCGCTACATTTACAGATAAAGCCTTTAGATTCAACTTAATAGTATTAAATATTATTTAAAAACCAGCATATTATAAATTACGGAATAAAACTGCACGAAAGATTTTGGTGTAATGTTGTCAACCTCAACCTGTTACTAGTGTCAACATGTTAGTTGTTACCAATTACCACTTACAGGTATTTTTTCATGTTTCAGCTTGCTTAGTTATTTTTACAGTTATTTTTATGTTTCACCTTCTCTACATGGATGTCTACTTTAATCTACCAATCACACAAATAATCCACATGTATATACAAATAAAAGACTGATTTTTTATATGTCTATGTATATACACAAAAATATATTTCGTTCGGCTTATCGAAAAGAACAATAAGAAAATCGTAAATAAAAAGTACGCTCTGGTCTTCAACCAAACCTGTATAAATGAAGATCTTCTGCCTAACTACACTAACAAAAATATATGTGTATATTTTTAGATTGGTAGATTAAAGTACACATGCATGTAGGGAAGGTAAAACATAAAAATAAATTTCTGTTCACCAACCAATGATAGTCTAGTACATGCCTCATTATTTTAGTAGGGTATGGCATGATTGCCTCACTTAGCCTTAGGAGGAAAAGTTAGTTTGAATGAGGTGGTAAGCAAGACAGGCCTAATGAGGGTAAGCAAGACAGTAAGCAAATATCCTCAAAATAAGAATTAAATTAAGATAATTTGAAAGCTTGAATTGTGTTAGCCACGCTGTATGATGGGAATGGCTCCAAAGCAATTGGAGTTGAAAAACTGTACAAGAAATCATAAGCTTAATCAAGGAGGCATGGCTGTTGCTGTGGTGGGTACTTTGGGATGACCAAGTTAAGATAGAATATAAAATAATATGCGTTTAAAAATGACTTTTTAAAGACAACACTTCTGAACAATCCAGTGTCTTGGATGTTATACATGTACAACGAATTTCTAATTTTATTTTCAAATATTAAAAAAAAATTAAAAATTTTTTGAGATATCAAAATTTTGTAAATTTTCAAAATTATTTCTTCTGTTAATTCTTGTCTCTGACTTTATGCAATTGTGCAAAATTTCAGATCAATTGGACAGGTTAAATTATATCATATATGGATTATAAGATTTGTAGCAGAGGAAATTATTGTTTAATCTATAAAATTATTTATTCTGTCAATTGATTCATACATTGTCTCCAACTTTACGCAAGTGTGCCAAATTTCAGATCGAATGGACAGGTAGAAGTGTGTTAAATATTGATTATAAGATTTGTAGTAGACAGACAGACAGACAGACAAACAAGAAGTGAAGTGAAAGAGAAGTGTTGTAAATAAGATGCATTTAAAATTCCTTTTTAAAGAAAACATTTCAAAATAGGCCAGTGTCTCCAATGTTACACATGTACAATGAATTTCTTAATTTATTTTATATAGTAAAAAAGTATTTAAATTTTTCTTAATATATTATATATTTTTTTCAATTTAAAAAATCATTTATTCTGTTGAGTGATTAATGCACTGTCTCCAACTTTACACAAGTGTGCAAAATTTCCGATCAATTGGACAGGTAGATGTGTATTAAATATTGATTATAAGATTTGTAGCAGAAAAACAACAAGAAGCAGAAGATAAGTGTTGTAATGAGTAGATAAAGAGGTAAAAGATTTTCTAGAGGCTAGTAAAAATTTATATTTAATACAGGAGGAAAAGTGAGAAAAGAATGCATCATATCGACACAGACATCTCAATAATGAGGAATTAGATGTGTTTCAACAAACAGCAAGATGATGGGTGCAGGTAAATTGCAAGGCCATTGGAGTGTGACAATGTGGGTGTGAATGCAACATGGACAATTGCATTGCTGCTTGCAGTGAAGTGAGGCTTGAGATGAAGAAAATACACATTAGCACAAGTAAAATGGGTGAGGATATACATATTTGCTATGAAGATTGTGTATGCAACAACAAAATATGAAAGGATGCAAATGGTGATTGTATATTGCATGACAGTGGAGAGTACAGACTGAGGGCAAGAACAAAGAAAATTACGCTTCTAGTAAGAAAGTATACATAATACATATACTTGAAGATAGCCATGAGAGAACTGTGCTCATGGTGAGCTTCTTGAAAGTTCATTTTTGAGAATGATCCAGATGACCCAAATCATATAATGACCATGAGGAAAGTGAGCAGGAGCAAAAAGATGACAGCTCAACAACTGATAATATACTGGTGAAAAAGAATGCAAAAATAGTGGATGAGGCTGGTGGGCTTGACATCAGAAGTGATTATAATTTGCTTGTAGTTTTCATGCCCATGTGAAAGCGCTGACCCATAAACTAAAGAGGCAAGTCAGAGGGGCTGACTGAGACAACTTTAAGGCAAAACTTGCTAATACAGAAAGAGAAGTTACAAATGATGTAAATGCTATAATTGAACAACTTGAGTATTGTCTGAACGAGGCTGCAATGGACTTTTATGCAAGGACCAAGAGGTATAAATGCTAAAGCTGACAAGAGCATGAAAAATTGTAGAGATCTTATGTAAAAATGCAAAAAAAAAAAAAAACAGACCAAAGTAGATAACTCAAACGCCCAACTTGATATATAAGCTTTTATATGCAGTTTGGACAATTGAAAGTGTACCTGATGCATGTAAGTAAATCACTAAATCTGGGTAACCTTGATACACAATTCAGGCCACAAGAGCAAGAAAGAGCTGGAAAGCTACTGGCAAATTGCTCCTACTATTATCAGTAGCAATATTTTCCTCAAGCTATGAACAAGCATATACAAAGAGATATACGTAGTGGTGGTGTATGAGTGGGGAGAGTGAGGATCATAATGATTTCTGATGCAACAGATGAGCAGAAGATATTTCTCATGACATGTGAATGAACTTAACTGAAAGAATGAACAGAGATGAAAAGAATATTTCCTAGGCTTTACTGCTATCAATCATTAATTTTTTGTTGACAATAGGGAAAGAGTAACTATTCAAAGAGGGTAACAGTGCCGAGGTTTTCAAAAAGTTGATTTAGAGGAACCAACATATTTTGAAGTTGGAAGTTTCCCACTCTACAGAAACTATGTCCTAGAAGAATAATTTCCCATGACTAGTATTTGTTCATGCAATTATTTCCATACCTAGATAGGGGATAATTCATCTAGTAGTTATTTATGGCTTCAGAAATGGCAATAAATTTCTAGTTATGGCCCAGGTTAACAAAGTAAATATGTATTCCATATTTCCATTCCTGGGTCAGACAAATGACAATATCACCCACTGACACCCAGTCCTACCAAGTACAACTCACGGCACTATTTCATTTAGAAAGAAAAAAAGACATTTTGGCAGTGATTTAAAAAGTCGCACAAAATGATTGTTTTCTGTTAAAATTTTTGAAAATTTTTCCTGATATTTCTTGTAAGTCATTAGCAAGAGTTTGGAGATTTGACAAATATTTAAAGATCTTGGGTGAGGAGGTGAGGTGACAATTCTTAAAAAAATTAAGGGGACTGGCTACCCTCCAGACCGGCTACCCTCTAACTTCTACATTTATCATCCAATCTTGCTGAAATTTTGTATTCACACGTAAAATGTAAAATAAAAAACAATTTGCTTGTATAAATTTTTTGAAAAAATGGATAGAAAACGTGAAATTCACAGAAAACGGCTAAAAAGGGGGTACTTTAGAAAATCTATCTCCTCCTTCAAATATCATCCTGCAACATCGAGACATGTATCATTCTATTTGTAAAGACCATACCACTAGACTCTGATCACTTCTCATTTTCCCCTTAGTTTTTTTTTTATGCGCGTTTTATCCCATTTTTCCCCTTTCCCCCCCTTCTCCCCCATATAAAAAAACGAACCAGACTGAAATTCAAAAGTTATCACAGAGTCTATAGGTATGGTCTTTACGAATCGAATGGTATATGTCTCATTGCTGTAGCTTGACAACTGTAGGAGAAGATAGGTTTTCGGTGACAATAAGTTGAACTTTTCAAACTTTTCAGGACGGCGCGACAAAGTCCCGAGCGCCTCGAAATAGGCACTCAATGTAGCATGGATACCAAACTACAGGCTTCTGTAGCTTAATCCACTCAAGGATGCTAGCAGCAACTTGTAGCGCACCTCTACGTACAATGTTAGGAGGGTAACTGAGCTCAGATGCCAGATACACCAAGATATGT